ATTTAAAGAGTTTGTCCCGAGTGATCTCTTTTTAGGGAAAGAGCCAGAGAGATAGAGGATCAGTGTGCATACACAGAGCCTATCTTTAACATTGCACAAACTTGCCCCCACTTCCTCACCGCCTTGGCCGTATCTAGACCCACTGCTAGTTTGTGATTGTCCCTCTTACCAAGCTTCAAAATTGGGCATAAATAAAACTATCTGCATCATACCTCCGACAAGCTCACTGTGACATACTGCTGAGGGAGTATAACCAGGCCTTAACTCAGTCATCTACATTAGGGCTATGCGATGTGACTCTGACAAAACATTTTTTTTGTTTGTGCCAATTTTAGGATTACTAATTAATTTAAGAGTCTTTTATTCCCAGTTTTATTGTTTTATGGTCGTGAACGATGTCTGGTCTAGATATGGGACTGTTGATATGGGACTGGCATGTATGGATCTGAGCTACAATCCATTCCAGATTATCCTACTTAGACATTTTTGAAAGTTAGTATGTCACCCTAAAAAGGACAAAAACTACAGGAATTGATTCTTCAAAACAATATACTAAAATTGAAGAGTACCAACACAGAACTCGTGCTTTTTTAATGAGTTTTTATGCCTTATGAGTTATCTCTGCGGTCCTTTAAAGATAAAGGTCACCTGCTCAAACTATTTAATGTGTATATAACATCAAACCAGAAATGAATATAAGCAACACAGATGTATAAATATGTGTGTAGCTTTATCAGCAAGAGCCTCAGGAAAATCTGCTCCATCTTTAGTGATTTATTGGGATAATATAGATGTAGGTTTATTGTGATCAGTGTAGGTTGACCCTAAACTGATTTTGGTGCCTTTGCTGACTTTGGTGCACATTGGTGCCTGGACCTCTCTGTAAAACATTTCCTGGAACCGCCACTGATCACACTCACCTTAGACTGGTGGAACGGCGAGAAACTTGATGCTTTACGCTCATTAAATGCACAAACTTACCAGCTAAAACATCGATTCTTTAAACATGTTTCAAAATTGGTAATACTCTGGCTTAAATATGTATTTGACATAAAGATGCTATATTTGTCCAGATAATTACATCTATTATGGGTAATATTCAGTTATGCAGCCAATAAAGCCACTCTTCACAGTAAAGCCAACACTGAAACACCTTCTGATAAGAATGTAGGAGGGATGTAGGTTCGGATTTTCAAAGCTTGTCCACAGAAGATTTATACAGCCAAACATGGTATTTCTGTCATACATGATCTTCCTAAAATAGTTTAAAATTAAGTTGTAGTTTGACCTTCACTGGATGGACTGACAGGAAGAATAAGGAACACTCCTATTTAGCCTTTGTTACAGTACAAATGCTTTGAGCAAGATGCCCTTTTCTAGAACTCATTTAAGATAACCATGTTGTAGAGCAAAAAGAGATTTCTGTTTATGGGAAGATTAGATGTTTTGCCCTCAGGAGCTTTCATTGTGTTTCTGTCTTTAAAAGGTCTAGCCAGCTGTGAGCTTTTTGTCTGGCACTTACATGTACACAGCAGTGATGATGACTTCACTCATTTTAATTATTTATCATTTGAACAGAATGAGAGCAAAAAAAAAAATGGCGCTCAGTCAAAGAACAGCCTGAGAACAGAGTGAACGACCGACCGTCGTTAATCTAAAGGTTATTTATAGCGATTCAAGTTCATTTACTGTAGGTTTCCTGACAAGACTCAGGCTCCATCTGGAAGAGGTAGATGCTTAACCTCGGAATATATCGCAAACTGGTGGTAAATATCAGTGGCCTGTTTCAGCTGTAACACGTGATAAATTATGAATCACAACCTGGGAATATATTCGGCTGCTTTGTGTTTGTTTACCTGACTCAGCTTTTGAATAGGACGAGCAGGTGGATTCTCGACACAGGAAGTTAAGGACTGAAATTAACTGCTGATTTCAGGCAGGTGTAGGAGCGGAACGTCAAATATGATAACTATGTGCATTCTATGTCTCTTCACATTGCATTTTCTCTTTCGCCCCTGTTCCATCCCGTCTGCTCTTGTTGAAAAAGCCAGAGTGAGGGATGCTGTTAAGTCTCCTCCAGCTCTCTCTGCACACAGCCTAATGCATTTCCCTTAAATATTTCAATATATTCCTCTTCTGTTCTGCAAGGCTGAGTACATGCTCTCCATCAGTTGGTGCCTACACAGGCAGACTGCCACTACGAAAATCCTTCTGCTGGTTCGATGTCTCAGGATGCCAGAGAAAAGGAGCGACACCAAAAGGGAGAGAGAAAAAAAAAGCAGGCAGAGCTCTAAGCGATACAAGATGATAGATACAGGCTTCACAGTGTCTGAGACTTGATAAATAATGGAATTTTGTTACAGGGATGTATTTCTGTTGTGTGCTGTTATTTACCATTCGTCCTTGCAGATGTGAGAAGGCATTATGCCTGATGCAATGAGAAGCAAACTTGTTTTTTTTCTCTTCACTGGTTCTGCATTGTTGCAGAAACTGCAGAAGAACAAACAGCTGCAAAGTGTAGTAAGCAAACCAAAGTCGGTACATGACAATAGCAACTGTACCATTCACTTCCCACTTTATGATCTGTTATGAAGGACAATAACTCTTCTGCTTCTGTGTATGTGTGTGTGTGTGCCTTCCTGTAAGAATCTCCACTGGCACATCTAGTTTTCCTGCAATAACATATGAAGTCTTAACGCTTCATTAATTTCAGTTTTTCATTACGGTGAACAACCCTCTTCCCCTGATCCTCTCCCCTCATCACTCCTTCCATTGTGTTCCATGACAGCAGCTGTCATGGAACATAATATCAATTAAATAGTCTTCTTGCTTTGTTGCTTCTTACTGAATAAGCAAATGTTATGAAAGTGTAAAATCCACAAAAACATAATTTACTCATGGTTGCAATATGCTTACACATATATTTTACTACATGTACTATTGGAGCGACATGAAAGGACAAATCCTTAAAGTCTGCATAGTGTCTAAGCAGCTGACTGACGTAGGGCTTCAACTACTGATTATTTTGTTTTATTAGATTAGATTAGATTAAATGAGTACGGAAGAGGATTAGGGCCACTGAAAAAAAAAAAAAAAAGTTAACTGATTTTTAAATTTTATTTCAGTTTAACATGGGAAAAAAGTCAGAATTCTGACTTTTTTTCTGAGAATTCTGACTTTAATCTCAGAATTCTGACT